TAATTCATCTAGCAGTAAATTTTGGATATACCCCATGGCATTGCCTAGAAGCCTGAGCCTGGAGAAGGGGATGGTCAAACATGCTTTTGGGTGAAGCAAGTTTCCAAGACCCTTGCTACAGTGGAGGACCTCGAAGCCGGCTGTGCAGGGTGACTCCTAAAGGATTTGCATTACTGCTTGTTGATAGCAACGCTATCTATATCAATCTTATTCAGCACGTTTAGCTGGGAACAGGTGGTGCACAGACCAGTTTGCAAGGCGCAGAACTTGTACCTATTTCGCTGTTAAAACCGAGAAAGAAATGCGCCTGAGGCAATGTTGCTCAATTGGCTTCGCCAAATTGAATTGGTTGTGTCCGTCGTCTTCGTCATCTCTGTGCTCTCTAATCTCTTCTACGTCCGTTCACTTGTGCTTTCGCCCCACTTTTCTTCACAGTGATTTCGTATAACGCTCCAAAGTAAGCCGCGGCAGTAGAGGCATTAGCCAGGAGTTTTTCCGTGGTTTTTCTGCTTACTCACATTTTCTTACTTTCACTCCGGAATTCACTATCCTGTTGTTAAGGTATGTGCTCTTAAAGGGAGAGATTGCGATAAAGTGTGTGTGCAGCGTAGAAGTACTACATGCACCAGTGGAAGCATTGGTCAGAGGGCCAAAGGAAGCCAAATTTGGGTTTTTGTGGCCAACGGTGCGCTAGCTGCAGCGTGCTGGGCTTGCCATTTCTTTCTGAGCTCCGCCACCGCCTGTGCTCCACCTCCAGCAGCAGCGTCCTTCGATTATCATTTTGATGAGGTGTTCCGCTTTGAGTGCGTATCCTATAACTTCCCATGGAACGCGTTACCAATCAGAAGCATGGCCTTTGCTGGTGTGATGGTGGCTATCGGTTTAACATGTGCAAAAGACTCCTAATTGGTTGCTAGCTCGTCCATTATCGGAGGTCAACGGGCAAAGAAAGGGTCCCATTTTGCGCCTTCTCGACGGATTTCTTTGCTTTTTTCGCCACTGGGGCATTATTCAGCATCCCACTTCCACCGTGAACCCAGATCGTAAAGTCAGACTTACGAAAATAAAAGTTTGTTCCGCGAAAGTGGTTTTTCCTGCGCTGTACGTGAACCACCGCTCACATTTTTTCAAGTCGCCTACTCATCAGTCGCCTCGTACATCGCAAGGCCATTCAGTTTAGTAATAGCCTATAAAGAAGCATTATTGCCCTGCCAGACGCCTGGTAATTTGTGGCGTATAACTATGATCTTGAAAAAATCTCGCTTCTCCATGGAGGCTGAAGCTTGTAGGCCGCGGGCTGAACGTATTATAGTCACTCCTGTTTCTCGCAGAAATTCTTTGGAATCCTGGTAAGGTCTCCCTAAATAGCACCCATATCCTAGTTGAGGCATAGGTGGTACAGACGTTGTGGCGTGACTTGGGAACAAGCCCACTTATGCCGAAATTCGGAACGTCTCAGTACATTGTTCCGCATTCTGGCACTTACCTTGGAATTCGTGATAGCGCCTCGAATGGCTATTTTTGCAGCTGTTCTCTGACTAAAAACGGTCTTTCATTTCACAACAATCAAAAATCTGACAAATCGGTAGCATAACTACCCGGAAATGAAGATGTGCGGGATCAATCCTGTCTGGGGCAAAAATGGAATTTTGCTCAGAACCCAGCATCCTTATAAATCACTCAAACTGCGGCGTTAAGACAGCAGGTAAAGCAACAGTTCCAGGACGAATTTACGAGGTAAAAACCGTTGATAGTGCAGAAAAAGCCAAAGAAAAACGCGGAATAAGGCTTTGAACAGGAACTCACCCTCTGCCCTTAGCGATGAGAGAAGACGCGTGCTGGACGAGTTGTCCGAACCTGCGCTCCAATTGCAATTGCTGGCAAATAGCCATAATAGTTGGCCATTTGCCAACTCTTGCAATTGGAGTGCAATCTCTAGCTCATTCACTAACAGTTCGATCACCCCTCAAACTACTGCAATTCGACCCTTCCATTTAGCTGGGAGCCCTTCCATTTAGCTGGGGAAGCCTTGATTCCGCTAATAACTGACTGACTTGGTAGCCATTACAACAGATTACAACATTACATAACACCACATAACATAACAACATTAGAACAACACAAAAAAGAAGCAATTCCACTGCAACCGGCAGGATCATTGATTACTTTAAAGGACAGAGTTCAAATACCCCTGTGGTCCGAAACGAGCACGAATGCCTCCGTAGCCAATCACGGCTGGCAAGTGGGCGGTCCCGAAGAAATTTCCAACCACACCCATCTTTGAGGATTTAAACGCCCTTTTTGGCTTTTTCCCAGGTGAGTTTTCTTTATAACTTCACTTCAGATGTTTTCCAATAGGGCCTGCGTATACTTTAGTGCCATTAGTATTGAAAGAAGCAGACCCTGCTGGGACTGTTGCTTTAACAAAAGAAAATTTCTGCCATTCCTTCCTCCACTGATCTCTGACTCGGAAACGAATGTTCAACGGAACTGGTTTTCAAGTGTTATCATCATTTCGCATTCCAGTCTCCAGTACATCTCCTCAACCGCTCCTATCGTCTTACCATTCTGTCTAACGTCCTAGATCAAAGAACAAGTGAAGGTGAAGGAGGGGTTTTGTGAATGAAGAGTGAGGCTAAAGGTTTCTTTTGGGCATCGAAATTGAGAGGGGCAGAATATACCACTCACCCTAAAACGCATTCCACGTAAACGCATCCGTAAACTTCTTCTCTTTCGTAAGAAAACTATAGTCTGAAATTATCGCAATTAAGCGGAAGGAGGGGAATACCTTTAGTTGCTTCTTACCCAATGGGCGAGTACGCAATCATTAATTGCGGTCAGGCTTTGGAATTGTCCCATAACTCATATGCACAACTTTGAATGAAAGAACACCTCCAGATCCGCCTAATGGAAAACGGCGTATGGATTGGGGTCTGACGCATAGGGTTTTTGGAGAGTGAAAGGTGCGTATCTTGGCTGTGATCGAACAACTCCACTCTACCGCCCCCCCCATTTTATTTATTTTTATTTGTTTATTTATTTATTGCACGCTCAGATGCGCTACATTAATTCACATCTTAACATCAGTAAAATCAATTTACCCAACAATGATCGTCAATCACAGTCCTTCCTCCTAATTAAGCATCGGTTTGGTTAGAAAGGACATCGTGAAGGAATGGAAGATTCGTTATGGACCAGTTTCTTTCTTGGAGTGCGCCACGCACTGTGCTATCGTTCACGACTCTAGTGGTACTTGAATTGTACGCCTATGCAGCAACCTGCGCATCAGTAGATGTACATGTCATTGTTTTCGTGTTCCTGTACGTGTGCACTACCTGACTGCTGGCGCCGAGGTGAAATGTATTTGAACTGGGAGAGTACGACTTAAAATTGTTCCTCCCGAAGTGTAAGCATAACCAGCGCCACTTGCCACTACATATCCTATAGACTCAGTCCCAATCATATAGCCTGAAAATGGCTTAGATCAGGGCTCCTCATTCCTTACCTTAGCGTCCAGTTTTTTGTAATGAAACCAACCCTAGGTGAAGCCCTTCTCTGAGTTGTTGAAAATATCAGGTGATTCATGGGATGGTGGTTGATTTCATCGAATTTTTTCACTGCGAACGTTAAACCTATTAAAAGAGTTTTGTGAATAATAACCATGGAACCTGT